TAGTATTTTTGGGATTTGTTTTGTACATTTTAAAACCTCCGCTCATTTAGTGCATCGAAGACCTTAATTGAGCGGGAGCTCAATATAGAATGTTATAATATCGATATCTTTTTTTAGATTGCTAAGCAGACTTTTGAATAAAGCTCGCTGATCTTTGGTAAGCTTTATTCAAAGTAGGCCTGCTTAAAAGAATCGCTTAGTATTCCTAAACAAGCTTTGCCTAAATCTGGTTTTAACAGAAACAGATATTTGGCTGTAATTTGGAGTACTTTTGGACTGCTGGGCACCGAGTTAGAGACCGTGACCGGCTGCCGGGCATCTAGACACTCTGTTTTCCACAAAAAATTCCCCAACACATCATGTAAGGAAAGAACTTTTTTAACTTTATTAGCAATCTTGAAAAAGATGTCGATTCATTTTTTTTTTTTTTGACATACTTAGCGTGACTCTCGGCTCCCGCTCAATTTTAATTCCAGTTCTTTGATGGTCTTCGATGCACTAAATGAGCGGGAGTTTTAAAATGTATAAAACAAATCCCAAAAATACTATCTAAGTAAGGATAGACCTTTCATAACTTTATTAGCAATCTAAAAAAAGATGTCGATTCATATTATAACGTTCTATTTCGTGACGCAGGCTCCCGCTCAATTAAGGKCTTCGATGCACTAAATGAGCGGGAGTTTTAAAATGTACAAAACAAATCCCAAAAATACTATCTAAGTAAGAAAAAACCTTTTATAAGTTTATTAGCAATCTAAAAAAAGATGTCGATTCATATCATAACGTTATATTTCGAGCAGCTTCGGTTTCTTAATTGTCACACTTAGCGTGACGCAGGCTCCCGCTCAATTAAGGACTTCGCCATGCACTAAATGAACGGGAGTTTTAAAATSTACAAAACAAATCCCCAAAATACTATCTAAGTATGGAAAGACCTTTTTTTAACTTTATTAGCAATCTAAAAAAAGATGTCGATTCACATTATAACGTTCTATTTCTTTGYAATTTCGTACCCAGAGCCCACACTYTTGCCATCCAGCGGATGTCAATCTTCGATGCTCTTACGAGCCTGCGATGATTCCAGACAGTGGAATAGACTAGTCAAATGCCGGACGATCAAACACAAACGAACTTTGCGATAAATTAGGACAATTGGATATCATCACTGA